GACCAGGTGACACACAGATCATCTGGCTCCGGGGTGCGCTCTCTGTGTGCCACGCAGGCGCTGCTGATGCAGGCTGATGTACGGGTATGTGAAACAGCACCGTGCATTTCCAAGGTGCTGGTGCCTGAACACTTTTCACCATGGAAATGCATGAGACTGTGCAAAAACCATTGGATGCAGTACAGCACCCTTAAAGAACCCAGATGGCACCCCTGGGTGCCACAGCAGTCCAGGTGAGTAATGCTGATACAAGTGGCATTCAAGTCAAACTAGTACTTTTAATTTTACAGGTATAAAAAGGGATGCTAGCAAGGCGGTATGAAACGCAGTGGCAAGTGTGACCTATTACTGAAAGGTGGTGTACATGTTGCGGGCCAGTCCAAAGACCATGAAGCAACATGGCAGTCAACAGTGTTTGTGCGTGAATGGAAAAGTGTGTGGTGATGAAGTTTCTCGTGAACGAAGGCTTAAAACCCGCGGATCTCTACAGAAGACTTCAAGAATGGTATGGTGATCAGACACTCAGCCGCAGTAAGTCATTTGAACAGTGTAAATATTTCAAAGATGGCCATACATTCATCACCCGGCCGTTGTGGTTCCCAGCCCACAGCAGTCATTCCCGTGAAAATTTAGCACATGGAACGTCTCATCCTGGATAATCACACATAATCTGTCATAAAATTTCACAAGAAACAAATCTTTCTGTGGGAACGGTGAACATAATCAGTCACGAATGTCCTAGGATGGTTGAGGCGTACTGACAAATCTTTCTATGCCAAAGCTTTGCAGGCATTAGTTAAACACTGGGATAGGTGTATAAATGTAGCAGGGGAATATGTCAAAAAATAAATGCAGTTTCTACTTCTTGAAATTGTTCTTTTATTATAAAAACTGCAAAGTCCTGGTTTACCTTAAAATGCCCTTCTAATAATATCATAAAAATATAATACAACTTTATAATATAATGCAATTAAATGTAACTTTTTTTATAGTGTCTCATGAGTTTGATATTCTCCAAAGCTTGACTAGCCCTGCCAAATGCTTCGCTTTTCAGTATTCCAGGGCTGAGTGTCAATTTTTTGGTAGGTTTACAAAGAAAAAAAAAAAGTAACACCATTATTTTTAGCAAATTTTGAATGAAGTTAAAGCTAGGTGTCTTGTTTTCTAACAGGGGAATTCTCTTGACAATGCTCATCTGTGGTTAAAAAGTACTATCAAGTTGTTTATTTCCATCTTACAAGCAAAATTCAGTCAGGTTCACGGTTTAATGGATCCTGCCTTTAGAGGATCACTGTAGTGTTAACACCACACTGACATTCACAGAACATTGTCTTATTTGGAGCCCCTTCACATAGCAGGCGAAGAGTAAAATCACGGTTTATGTGACAGAATGTGAAATAGGAAAATCGCAGCGAGCTACTGCCATCCAGAGCCCCAATGTAACAATACACTTCGAGGCTGTGAGTTCCAATGCTGGCCGTTTAATCTAATTGCAATATGTGGAATGAGTCAGGACCAGCGAAGCCTTGGAATGCTCTCGTTACAGCATAAGTGTTGGTAATTCAGTCATGTATTCCTTATGCACTTGCCCAATGGGGCAATTTTTTAATCTTTTGAACACATAAAAATCTGCATTTTTTTGCTAATTACTGTAACCCCCCACCAAAAAAAAAAAAGTATATATTTTTCAAAAGAAAAAACCCTGGATAATAAAATGGTGGTAGTTGCAAATTTTTTATTTTGCAAGATATTTGCGCAGCTGTTTATCAAAATGCACATTTTTAGGAAAAAATACACGAAAATTAATTTTGGTGCAAACAAAATATTATACCAAATTGTTTGTCAAAATATAAAATATGGTGTTGCATAGAGTAAATAGATACCAAACATGTCAAGTCTCAAAATTGTGAACGCCAGTGCAAACGGAAAAAACTATGGTACACAAAATTCTTCATAAGTGACTCTTTAAATGTCTTTATAGGTTATAAGTTTAGAGTTAACTGCCAATTATGGACCTAGAATTATTGCTCTCATGCAAACATTCGCAACGATACCTCACATGAGTGGTGCAATTGATGTTTACATACACATGCTCACCCTACACTGCACTTTTATATGCAGTGTGTACAGGGGTGACCGGTTTTTTAAGAAAAGGTATTTTTATTTTATGTAATTTTTTTTTCTATACTTTTTAATTTTGTTTAACTTTATTACTAACACAATGTGCTTAACAAGCCCCCCATCTTATAGCATGGGCAGAGGACAGGCCCTTTTTATGGAGAAACTGGGGGTCAATTAGACCCCCAATGTCCCCCCCCCTGCCCTTCAGTGCAGCTATTGATGCACAGATCACCAGATCTAAAGACCAGTAATCTGCAATACTATTAATTCCTGTTTTTGGGTTTAGATACACTTTAATCACTATATAACCAGCCTATATACTGTATTCCCCTTCATTACCAGGCGATTGTGATAGTTTGACTGACAGTTACTTGGTCATGCAACTCTGTACCCAAATTCATTTTACAGTAAATAATTTTTGAGACAGAGATTGCTTTTGGTGGTATTTACTAACTATTTTGTTTTGTTTTTTTTACTTTAGAAAGGGAAAAAAAAAACACCAAACTGTTGAAAAAATTCCTGGTTATAAAAAACATTTTAAAAATGTCACGACAGTATGAAAATTCCTCAGATTACCCATTTTTGGACACTCCAAGGTGATCTAGTTTTTGGCAAAATGTTTTTTGTAAATGAAGAAAATTCTGGTATTGAGGGGGTTAAAACATGGAGCTTGGGAATGGTGCACTAGATATATTAAATGTGCAGGCCACATTTACAGTCCCAACTCTAAGTGCTTTTGTCTCACATAAATATTGAGGGATGGTACTTCCAGAGGGAATATTAACCCTATACCCAACCACAGACATAAGGCAGCCTTCTCCAGACCTCTTACGACTCTAGAAACGCTATGTCTGAAAGGGAAACCCGTTGACAAAACCTATTCTTGGCTTCAATACAATCTGTCACCGATGACAATTTTTGGCTAGGTTGGAAATCAGCCTTTCAGGCAGAGTTCTCCGATGACCAATGAAGAAAAGCCTGCATTTTTGCTCACAAATGCTCCATCAGCACCAGGACTCAAGAAACCTCCTACAAATTGTTAATGCGTTGGTACGCTACGCCGGAGAAGTTAAAGAGGTGGTTTCTCCAGATGTCAGGCTTATGTTGGCGCTGTGAGTCAGCTGAGGGCTCCTTGTTCCAATGCTTGGTGGCAATGTCCACGACTTATGCTATTCTGGGATGAAGTTTGCAAGTTGATCTACTCTATTACGGAGACTTCATTTCCCTTAACTCCTAAATGTTGCCTCCTCCATATTTCTGAGTGCTCGATGAAATCGTACAAGAGATCCATGGTGCGGTATCTTTTGAATGCGGTTAAGTCCTTAATTCCCAGAGATTGGAAGACCATCCATACCCCTCAAAAGACTGGATAAGAGAGGTTAATGTTATTCACAAATTGGAACGGACGCTATGACTGATAACATGGTTCCCAGGTTTCACAAATTGTGGTCCAGTTGGTATGCTTTCACTTTTTCTGAAAGATATAAAGGGCTGATGGGTGAATAGCTCTTTTTCTCTTTTGGACGCATGGGTCATGCTGGTGATTTCTGGGCATCTCTTGCGAAGATGGATCTGTCCTTACTTATGCTATTTTCTTGCTTTCTTTCCTAGCTTTTCATTTTCCTCTGTTCTTACATTACTTGCTATCAGACTTGATGTGTGTACCTGCAAATTGTAAACATTTTACTATGTGAATGCTTCCTAATGTTTTGATTATACTACTGAGTTTGCTCCAAAACTAATTTGTAAACTGTGTACTACATGATACGATAATATGCTATACTTTCTTGTAGCTCATTCTTGTTCATATGTTCTGCTTTTTCTTTCTGAATAAAAGCCAATTGTTTAAAAAAAAAAATTAACTCTATACCCATCCTCCACATATCCTTTTTGATTTCATACAATAAGAGGGTGGCGCTGAAGTGGTTAATGTCCAAATATGCATGGTATAGCTGAAGAGGTTTATATACAGCCACATAGATACATCATGGAGCTAAGATATACAGGAGAGGAGAGGGAGGGGAAAGGGTTAAAATGTTGATCTGAAACTAAGGAAGAATGTCATTCATTCATTCCTCCTGCTTCCCCCTCCTCCATGGTTAGGGAAGGGGTGGGGCTCAAGGACAAACACTATACTGTTTACATCATGTGATCACCATAGCACCAGACCTCGTGTTTAACTCTAAACTGGTAACCTATAAAGGCTTTTAAAGTATCGCCTACGGATATCATCTTTTATATTTTACAAACAGGTGAGTATTATATTGTGTTTTGCTTGCAATAAAATTAATTAAAGTGTATTTCTTCCTGGAAATTTGCATTTGAAAAACTACCGCGCAAATATGGTGTGACATAAAAATTTGTAAGTGCCACCACTTTATTCTCCAGGACCTTTTCTTTCAGAAAATTTAGAATGTTTGAGGGTTCTAAGTCATTTCTAGAAAAAAAAATGCATAATTTTACATGTATATGAGAAATGTTAGAATTGGCCTGGGTTTTGAAGTGGTTAATCTTTTTGCACTTTTTCCCGGTTCACATATACTGTATGTGGCTGTGTGTGTCACGGGTGTATGGGCAAGACAGCCCACCCATTCATTTGAATTGGATACTGTGGCTGCATTTTCTGCAAGGAAAAAGTGCCTGAACTATTTTAAAAAATGTGTTTTTTGCAATTTTCGTGTGCAGCAAACGGCACTGCGTTTTCAGTGCATAGGGGTGACATTAACCACCTCCCCCCCGCCATATAGTAATATGATGGACGCAAGGTGGTTCTCTCATTCTGGGAGGACGTCATATGACATCCTCCCATTCTCACCGCGCATGCGTGGCTCAGGGAGTGCGCAGTGCGCCGATCGGCGGTGCGCTGTGTCCCTCGGACACAGCGGATCACCGATCACGGAAAGAGCCGAAGATATTGGCTCGGTCATGTGATCAGCTGTGTGTAATCACAGCTGATCACATGTAAACAGGGAAATGCCAGTTATCGGCATTTCTCTCCTCTTGGGCTGTCACGCTGACAGCTCCGGAGGAGAGAAGAGCCGGTAATCGGCTTTACGCGGAGGGGACATGTACACTGATCATCAGGGCACTGATGATCAGTGTGCCCTGATGATCAGTGTAGCTCCAGCAGTGCCACCTGTCAGTGTCCATCAGTGCCTTGTGTCAGTACTCATCAGTGCCTCGTGCCAGTGCCCATCAGTGCCAAATATCAGTGCCTACCAGTGCACATCATTGCCACATATCAGTGCCCATCTGTGCTGCCTTTCAGTGTCACCCATCAGTGCCACCTATCAATGCCAGTCAGTGCCACCTATCAGTGCTGCCAATCAGTGCCACCTATCAGTGCCAGTCAGTGCCACCTATCAGTGCCTGCCAGTGCGGCCTATCAGTGCCAGTCAGTGCTGCCTAACAGTGACAGTCAGTGCCACCTATCAGTGCCATGTATCAGTGCTGCCTTTCAGTGCCCATCAGTGATGCCTGTCAATGCCCATGAGTGCCACCTACCAGTGCCTCCTCATCAGTGTCCATCAGTGCCACCTATCAGTGTCCATCAGTGCAGCCTATCAGTGCCCATCACTTCAGCCTCATTAGCGCACATCAGTGAAGGAGAAAAATCACTTATTTACAAAATTTTACAACAAAAACTAAGAAAAAACGTTTTTTTTTTTTCAAAATTTTCAGTGATTTTTGGTTTAAGAAAAAATAAAAAAACCCATTGTGATTAAATACCACCAAAATAAAGCTATATCTGTCACAAAAAAATGATAAAAATTTCATATGAGTACAGTGTTGCATGACCGCGCAATTGTTACTCAAAGTGCGACAGCGCTGAAGGCTGGAAATTGGCCTGGGCAGGAAGGGGGTAAAAGTGCCCTGTAGGCTTGTGGTTAAAGGTTACACATTTTCCATGCTCACCTTGTTTTATGTGCGGCTGCATGTGGGTGAGGGAATGTGTCCGATTTACATGCAGTCCTACACCCCTGCATATATGTGACCCTAGGCTGATGTCAGTGATTCTAATTAAAAGATTCCTCCCCATTGATGGGCAGTGGCTGTGTTAATTAACCTCTTTGTGTTGTATTAGTGGTCAGTAATAGTGTTTTTTAAGCCCTTCGTGCTGCAGCATAAAGGGGTTATTTAACACTGACACTGGTGCCACTAATGCATCAGTGAGCAGCGGCAGTGACCCCTTCTTGCTGAATAATACTGACTAATGGCATTAATTAACCCCTTTACCACCATCACAGAACCCCCACACTCCTCAAATAGTTAACCATTCCAGTTCACAGGAACAGACTTATTCCTGAGTCACTTCAATACAACATTACACTGTCTGCGTCAAGCACTGCCTCTTCTCTTAGGTTGTTGCTTACTTCAGATTTGATCAACACTCCCTTGCTGCTCTCTCTTACTGTCCAAGCCTCCGAGTAAATCACGTGAGAGGCTGGGACTAGTAATCATCTGTTGGACAGAGGTTATTCCGCCTGACAGAGAAGTGTAATGCATGGCTGCTAGACTAGGCCGGGTACAGGAGGAGAACAGGGACGGCTCCAGCAGTCAGCACTCTGTTAGACTAGCACTTACTGGGTACAGGAGGAGCAGAGGGACCTCTTCAACACTTGTAACTCTTCAGAATTACTGTGTGCACAGTCTGTGCAATTTTAGCCAACAACCAGCGTTAAGCTGGCCAGCACTGCACTGTGTCATCTCTGCACTCCACCTGCGCCCCCACCTCCCCTCCAGTGAATTGTTGAACCCAGGGCTCCCTCCATTGTTAGCACTGTCTCCAAGACATAGACAGTGAGAGCAAAGCAAATTTTACAGTTGTCACCAGATGTTAGGGATCCGGGTATGACCAGAAATGTGTGGACTGACACAGGGAAACGCAGGCTTCAGGTATAGTGTAAATAAGACAATTTATTAAGACTAAACAACACAAACGCAGTGCAAGGTAAACATAACACAGTGCAAACAACCCAAACTCCAACAGATAACCATATATACAAATCAACGTAGTCGGGCAGGCCGGGTCGGTAGCAAACGGGCAAACAGAGTACCAGGAGAGAGCGGAAGAGTGGTCAGGAACAGCCGAGGTCAGGACAGGCGGAGTTCACTCAGAGTCAGGATCAAGCAGAATCAGGAATCAAGCAGGAAGCAGACAGGATGCAGGTACAGGGGCTCATGGGAAACATTACACCAAGGCCCTGATCACAGGCCTGGCCATTCCTTAAATACACCTGCTGCAATCAGCCTCAGGTGATGGCTCATTGCAGGAGTGAGCCTCTGGTTGCTGAGAGCACCCGCTGGCCAGCCCTGGTACTGCAGCCCACAAGGCAGGTGAGTCCCACCACCACTGGCAAGTCCATTCCTGACACCAGAACAAGAACTGAGTGAAAATCTTCAGGTTTTAATTTGTAGCATGGATAGGCCCTCTGTTCTTTGCTTCGACCATCTAAATAACCTCAGCCCCTCTGACACACCAGGTTGAGCGTACAAACCATATCAAAAGGAAATCACTGAAAGTAACACTTAGAACCCAACAGTAGTGATATTTGAAAGAAAACAAGCACCAAACCTGGTAGTAAAGCAAATTAAATATATTGCCACCCAATATGGTTGGTAAAAACGCAAACATGAAATGGATTACCAATTGTGATAACATAATTTAGCATACAAAATGATTAACACTAGGGACTAGGCATAAGATGAATTTTGGCATTCAGATAAGCATAAACAATGCAGCATTGAGCAGTAGTAAAGTTTAATCTACCGAATGCTGGAACTTTACTGCCAGAGTGTATTTATGGTGGCAATGCTAAACCTAGACTGATTGATATGCACTGTCCAAAAGAAAAGGAGGATGGTAGTGGGAGAGGGTAGGGGAACAAAGGGGACTTGCAGAATAATTACAGAAGGGGCATTCCTTTGTGTCGTTCTACTGCCGGCTATTGTTGGGGCACTTTAAGTGTGTGGGTACACTTAACGACAGTCCCCGTAGCATGCAGTATAGGTAAGGTATAGTCTTGGCACAGGTGCAAGGTAGATGTGGTTCAGATGCCGTAAAGGTTTAGTATAATGCAGTATAGGAGTGCAGTATGCATGTGGTATGGGGTGGGTACACTTGGGGGTTGATTTACTAAAACCAAAAAGTGCAAAATCTGGTGCAGCTATGTGTGGTAGCCAATCAGCTTCTAAGCTCACCTTGTTCAAATAAGCTTTAACAAAAAAAAAAACATAAGTTGAGCTGCACCAGATTTTAAACTCTCCAGTTTTAGTAAATCAGTCCCCAGGTGCCTGCTCTCAGTAGCTCAGCCCCTGCTAGCAGTATCTGCAATGGGCCAAAATAGACCTCTCACCAGTCCAGGATTTTGTGGTGGTGACCTCACGCTGTAGAAGAGGGGGCCCTCAGTCTCTCCCCAAAGCCTCCGATGATCAGCGGTGGGAAGCAGAGGGTGAGTGGACATTCCAATCTCCCTGCGGCAGAAGTGCAGGTGCTGTGGTTGTGAGCGTTGTTGTGCTGCCCACTGGGGAACCTTACTCCCATTCTCAAGCTCGGATCTCTGCTGGTATGGTCTCCCACTGGCAGGAGAATATCCAGACTCGAGATGTGCACAATGGAAGAATTTGTTTTATTTAATTTCAGATTTATTTGTTAAGTAAACATTTCGCTTTGTTATATTGGTTATGTTAGAATGATTCGTTTTGGGAATTAGTTTTGTATATTCAGATTTGCTTTGTATATTCATTGCTCCGAAATGATTCATATTTTCAAAAGTTATTTCTGATTGGCTATATTCATTTTAACATGCTAATTCGTTATTGCATTTTTCATAACATTGAAAAATGTTAATGCAAAAAGAATCAGCTGATTATTAAAATATTCACACACATGCACTAAAATAAAAACGAATGGATCCGGATTTCGATGATTTGTTATGTCGTTACGTTATTTCTGATGCTTCAAACATTAATGAAAGGCCCAAACTATTGCATGGTGTCATCTGAATGAAATGAAAGAATACAGATTCATTAGTTGTTTACATTATAATTTATTTTGGAGTCAGTAAAAATCGTTACAATTGTGATTCATCCGAATCTACAAATAACGAACATTTGAGTTCCGATTCATAATGAAATCAATCGCACATGTCTAATCCAAACAGAGATGCTCTCTCTCCCTGACTCCCTTGGTGCCAAGAGGAAGAACATTCTTGGGCAGTTTAATAAAACATATCTCTACACTCCTCCTATTGCACAGTGCCTATTGGGATCTGCAGTGTAAAGAGGCTATTTGTCCCATTATACGGCTGCCATCTTAAAATACAACTCCCAGCGCTCTGCATAGAAGTCTGTGGGGTTGCTTGCTAAAGCACTCCCCCTGCTGGCTGGATGAGAATGGTGCAGCATTACATCAGTATCTCAGTAGAGGGAGAGAAGAAGAAAAGCCAATGTTACCTTCTCTGTAATGCTGTAGCCCAGAGATCTCCTCCTATGCAGGTCATCATCAGGAGGATGTAGAGAGAACTTCCCCACTGCAGGTTATGTCTGAGGAGGAGGAGGAAGGGGAAGGATCCTCTACTCTAGCGCATACTGACCTGGAGGTGTCAAGGGGTGCATTTTGGGTCACCTACATGCGGGACCCCATGTTAAAAATGACAGAGAACAGGTCACAGTGATTAATGGGGTGTCAAACATTCCGGGAGGCTGAAGGAAGGTTCCCACACTTTGCAGTCAATAATTATTTACTATAAGTCACCGAAGTCTGGGGTGAAGTGGTCAACCAGTTATTGGTCCCCAGCCTTTTAGATACATAGTATGCAACTTGGCTCACTATGATGCACTGGGAGAATACCTAGGGGCAGAGAAAACGGAGGCCCAGATAACAGACAGCTTCCATTGGCTAGGAGTCACTGCTGCAATAAAAAGGTATTGTGCTTCCTATCTAACTTGTCAGATAACTGCTCCAGTGTTGCATTTTAGGAACCCCTTGGTGCCTCTACCTATTATCCAAGTACCATTTGAGCACATTGGAATGAATATGGTGGAGCCCTTGATAAAATTGGCCCTGGGCTACTCCTTGTGTTACCCGATTATCCACTTGCCCTCCGAAAGATTTACCCCCTTTCATGACAAGGTCATCTTTTGTACGGCGCTGCACTACTTTAACTGACAATTGCATTGGCATGCATCACTGTACAAATAAAATTTATATACTTTTTTCACACAAATAGAGCTTTTTTTGGTGGTATTTGGTCATCACTGTGTTTTTTATTTTTTGCTTGTGCTGTTCCTTCAGAACTGGGTGCTGCTGCCGAGACTCCCATGTGCATGCACAGGAGTGACCTCATCAAAGC